TTAGTCAAATAAATGCTTGTGAATCATATGGGCAGCAGAGCCTGGGCTGCTAGGCAGATTCAGGGTTGGAGTCCCCACCCCACCACTTGTTATCCTAGTCAGTTACCCGACCTTCCTTAGCCTATTTCTTCATCTGTAACTGGGGCAGAATAATAGACATATTATTACCATTATTATTATTGAGAAAGTGCATCTAACATTCAACACAGGGCCTGACATACCATAAATGCTCAATAAATATTAGCTATGTTTTTCTCAACTATCTGATGGACTCTCTAATAATAATGTTATTATTTATACATAATATATAACATTATATAATATATAATACAATTAACACAAATTACAAAATATATTACTATACATAATATAAATTTTTTTTTGAGACAGAGTCTCGCTCTGTCGTCCAGGATGAAGTGCAGTGGCAAGATCTTGGTTCACTGCAATCTCTGCCTTCTCGGCTCAAGTGATTCTCCTATCTCAGCCTCCCAAGTAGCTGAGACTACAGGCGCACGTCACCATGCCCGGCAAATTTTTTGTATTTTTAGTAGAGACAGGGTTTTGCCATGTTTGCCAGGCTGGTCTCAAACTCATGATCTCAGGTGATCTGTCCAACTTGGCCTTCCAAAGTGCTGAGATTATACGCATGAGCCACCATGCTCGGCCTACTTTCCCCATTTGTAATAAACATGTTAACCTTTAAATTTTAAAGCATTGGGCTTATTAGGGAGTCAGGGGATTTCATACCCACAAATGAAAATTTGTAGGAGTGTTGGGTGCAATGGCTCATAGCTCTAATCCCAGTGCTTTGGGAGGCTGAGGCAGGAGGATCACTTGAGGCCAGGAGTTTGAGACCAGCCTGGCCAACATAGCAAGATCCCATCTCTATGTGACATCTCTATGAAATAAAAATTTAAAAATTATCTGGCCTTGGTGGCATGTGCCTATATCTTAGCTACTCAGGAGGCTGAGGTGGGAGGTTCACTTGAGCCTAGGAGTTGGATGTTATGATGAGCTATAAGCCAATGCACTCCAGCCCAAGCAACAGAGCAAGATCCTGTCTCTATTCAAAAAGAAAAAAAAAGAAAAAAAATTGTGGGGGCCAATAGCAGATATAGAAAGACTTTTACTAATATCTGCATCACCTGTGTTTAATGTTAGTGGAAATAATGTGACCTTATTTCCTTTTTTTTTTTTTTTTTTTTTTTTGAGACGGAGTTTCACTCATGTTACCCAGGCTGGAGTGCAATGGCGCGATCTCGGCTCACCGCAACCT